ACACACAATATCTATCTAAGGCGTCTGTATGTGTGTGTATGCGCACGTGCGTGTGTGTGTGTGTGTGCACATGCATATTTATACCTTTTCTTTCATTTTGCAGCAAGGCCTTTCTTCATCTGGTGTCTTCTAGGTGCATTGGACTACAATTCCCATATCATACTCAGCCATCCCTGACTGGTGACGAAGAATTGTTATCCAATACATCTGGAAGGACACAAGTCTATAGCTTTAACAGTTTCTCTTCAAAATTGAGCGCTAATTAATACAAATGCAGAAAAGAATACCCTGCTGTTTTAGTGTCTGCTATGTGAGTTCCACCCTTGATCTTCCCAGGCATGAAGGTGATCTCTGTTGACCCGATTTCTCCACCTTCCATCTGCCCATCACACAGATCACGAACCATTTCCAATCCAGACAGGTGCTGAGGCCTTCAAGTCAAATACATTGAATTAGAACATAAAAAAAGCCTGGGCATGCATTCCTGATACAAAGGATGCTCACCTTGGGTGTGCCTTGTAGTGATGACCTTCCTACATCACAGGCCGATTAGCCATTTCCCTACTAGCCCAGAAAGAGTAGCAACAACCCCTTGACAAGCAAGTGACAATTATTCCCAATCCTTATCCAGGATAAGGAAATGGGTGCCCTTCACCTAATTTCACAAGGCCTGTGGTTTCAAAATCCTTCTCTAAGCAATCAATTCAGACTTCTGACAAGTGTGATATATATTCCTTCCTCAGCAATCTGTTACACAGAGTAGGGAGAGAGACAACAGGATGTCAACATGAGAATGGGAGGGGGATGTTATATTGTATAAGAATGATAGGTTTAAAAAGATATTTTTGTTAGTCATTATATTGTTTATTCATTACATATATTATATTTTAACTGCTATTGGCTTGCCACTGAGAATCAGTTTTATGATAGAAGCAGCACATAAGCCTGAGAAATAAAAAATAACATAATTTATGATTGTTGAAGTGACTTTGATAGGACCTGTGCCCTAAAAGACAGGATATAAATAATAGGAGTAAAAATAAAACAACATAATCTAATGTGTACAACCATATAGTACAACATAATATCATTCAATGCCACAATGCCATCCTAACAGGACTTGGGCAAGCTGCTATACTTTTATTCATCCACAGGCATGTCTGTAGATGCATAAAAGGTGAAAATATCTACAGAAGAGTTTTAAGGCAGTTTTATAGCCAAAGAAGCATTAGTCTCTTTTTCCCATTTCAGATCATCCCTGCTATATACATAATGAGAAAAGATGCCCAAATGCCTAACCAAAATAAACTGCAAGTTAACTGAGGCAGCTTGTAATTATTTTTTCTACTACTCAGGCTAGGCACCCTGCTCTTAGTTGTTAGATCAGATCCTTCCATGAATCTCTTACATTCCAGAAAGTAAATTCTGTAATTCTACCATTTCATCTTGCACCGGAACTAAATCTATCAGAAGTCATCAAGCAGGGAAACATATCAGAAAGATTCTGAGGACAATCTTGAACTGTGATGAATTGAAGAGTGTATTGTCGAAGGCTTTCACAGCCGGAATACGATGGCTGGTGTGGGTCTTCCGGGCTGTGTGGCCATGTTCTGGAAGTTTTGTTTCCTAACGTTTCACCCGCATCTTCAGAGGGCAGGAGCAGTTCTCTCTGTGCCCAGGATGATGTGACCCTGTTGTGGGTATTTATAGAGATCAGGGGGGGTGCCTGAAGGGGGGGGGGTGTTTGTGGGGGTTTGGGTTAACGATTGGCTGCTGTTTTGGTGTCAGAATCTGTGTGTATCTTCCTGGGGG